CCCCCATTCCGTCTGAAATTCTCTGGATCTCTAGACTCTCCTTTCTTCTCCTCAACTGGAAGCTCTGACGTTTTAGCTTTACCGTTTTTATTTGAATTTAAACAATTTTAGGTACTGATTAACGTTTTCAGTTCTCTTAAAAGAAAATCGAAAATTACACAATGGAAATGAACACGAGAACGCTTTCTATTTAGTGCCTGTTGGGTCGCAGTTTGAGTATTGCAGGTTTTTTCGTTTTTTGTTTTTGTTTGTTTGGTTTTTTTTTTTTGGTTTATTTTTTGGTTTATTTTTTTTTTTTTTTGTTTTTTTTTTTGTTTTTTTTGGTGTTTTTTTTTTTTTTGTCGTTCTATGGATTTGAAATTCTGAAATAAAAGATGAATAAATGAATGAATATTGTATGCGCTGTAAATAAGTAATTATCTTTAATAACTTTTATTTTTTTTAATAAATTATTAAAAGCGAGGTTATAGGCCTACTTGTATTTATATCTTAATATATTCGAATGTATTATGTATTTTTGTACTCACTCCAATAAGTTTTTCTATAACATTCGTTATAACAGTAAATTGATAATTAAAAAGTAATAGTAAAAGTTAAAATAATAAGTTGTTGCTTTATTGTGATTTTGACATATTGAAATTTGACACGTTATTAAATCAATCAATTTTTTTACCCAACCGTCTTTATATAGGGCCAAGTATTTTTGAGACTATTAATGTGTTGTACGCAATTATTCAAATTAAAAATGTGTGTGCATATTAGTTGGTATTGTATTGTTTATAGTCACACGATATTTTGACATTGTCTACTTTACTGATATGCAACGAGTCCCCAACATTTTCTTACCCCCGGGTCCCATGACTCTTCGTATTAGAGGGTATTAATATAGCCACATCTACTGCAAATATTTGTAGGTCTACAGAAGATTTGTTGTTTTTTTTTTAAATTTTATTTTTGAATAATAAAATTCTCATTTGACATTTTACCTCAGCCTAAATTATTTTGTTCTTAATTTTTAAGCGATTTCTGCCTCAAAGTTCTTACAAAATGTGTTCTTGTAAAAAAATAATAAAAAGGGTATAGCATGATGTTGGTATGAAATGAAACTGTATACTATTCACATAATGAACGCGTTTAGCAAATGAATGACGCGCTTGAACACTTACCGCGTACCTGGTGATACAGTGATACCATTTTTTGTTTACACACGGTTTGGGCCTCTCTTATTAATAAGAACAGACACTGAAATGGCACCTATTGATAACATTGGTGTGTGGGGAGAACCGACCTCTACTCTAGACTGGTGTGAACAAAACTACGTTAATTCCATGTACATTGCAGAGTTCTGTGAGTATATTTCGGATGTTGAATTACGAACGATGGCCTTGCTAGCCTAGACTACTGTAATCTTCCATAGTCACAGTGTAGGCCTTGACTCTAATAAAGGGCACTTAGTGACTCACACCTGCCGAAAAGACAATTGATGACTACTCTATCGACGGCCTATGTTCCGTTTAGTGTTTAGTAGGACTGTCAGGAAAAATTTGGTCCGGGGCCAAAATCGGTCCGCCGGAATTACCTGCCAAATATAGTCCACATAAGTCAAAATTGGTCCGGCGTCTTTTTGGTAGTGATAACTTGTACAGTATTTTTATATTAAGGTTGTTCATATTTTTTTTGTAATCAAATGACTAGATAAATATCTTATATCTCTCATTATATATAGCCTAATATGTTTTCATTTGTTATTATACGTTTGAAATCTCTAGTGAAAATTAAGTAAAGTTAAACGATGTGGTCTTAAATCGTGTTGGTCTGCTGGAGTTAATTTTTTTACCTTGTTTTGTTTCGGTTGTGTGAGAATTCTGACCCCTTTATCATGTATTAGAACATCTATTGTATGATCTAATACCCCAGACAATAATCCGGAATATTTAAAACTAATAAATCAGTCTTTTAGGCCCAAACGTAGGCCTAACCACAGCCACCGAAAATGGTGCACGCTGTTTGTATTGTGGCCTAGGAAATGCATTATCTGGTGGGTTTGATAAAACACTTCCTCAAAAGCTTAACGAATCATGATTCTGTTTACTGAAAAGACTTTGCAAGTGTGGGAAAAGCATAATACTTTCCTCCACTCCACGGGAGAGACAATCATACCCTACGAGCAGCAGACGAGTTACAAATGAAATGGCAGGCCGACGCAGACCAATTTTATCCAAGCGATTTTAGTAGTCCGACTGACCGATTTTGGCAGCCAAAATCTGTCCGCCAGACATTTTTTGGCCCGGACCAATTTTGGCGTGACAGGACCGCTCTATATAAGTCACGATGCTAGGCCTACAGCTACTACAATCTATCTCTGCTCAGCACAGATCATGAGATGAACAATCATGACCAGGGAAAATTGTAATTTCTCATTCATGGATGGATTTTTCCTAGGTATTTTTTATTAAAATTTTTTAGTTGCTGTCATTGTCCGGTTTAATGCAAAGAATCGAGTTATAATTATTTTGAAAAAAAAAAATCATTGTAACTTCATGTGCAAAGCAGGGCAAGGCACTATAGGACTCCAGAAATGTTACTGCACCCCCGGCCACCCCAAAATATCAGTTACAATTTAGCAGTATGTCTTCATTGTAGGCTGCAGCAGTCATCTCATTCTCAGTTTACTGAACAGCCAGCCCATCAAACACGAAACGTTAAGTGATGAGGTTCTGTAAAAACATAAAGTTATCACAACCAGTGACAGCTGGTGATTTTCTTGGGGTGGGGGGTAAGTACGACAGGGGATAAGGATAACTGTGGCGCGCATATTGCCATCCAAGGGCCTTCTGACCTAGCTAGACGGGGAAGGGTTTGCAAGGGGATGTCCCCTCACTAGTGAGTTGTTTTTGTAAAGGGGCCTCCAGATGGCCGGGAATGGTGCTCGCAGACTTAAAAAATACTTTTATTAAATGCGATAAGAAGTTGATAAAATACAGTCAAACTCAACTCAATAAACATGCATTTTATATCATACAGGCCTTTTTTTTTTTTTTTTTTTGGCTCAACTTCCTGACAAGCTCTGACCTTTGGACCTGTCTGATGAGTGGGCTTAAGCCCCTGCTCCCCTTCCTGCTGACGCCACCACTGAGCAACATTTTAAACGTTGTTTCATCAGAAATTAGTTGTATAAAAATGTATGTATGGTTCTACAAAAACTGATAACTAACAATATTATTATAATGTGAAATTGTTAGCTGAGAGCCTGACCTCTAACCCTACCCCTTCCCAGTTTTTTTTAGACACAGACACAGTACTGCAGCACGTACTCTACAGTAGCTACTTCAGAACCCATTACAGTTACTGCATCACCACCCCAATTAATACACTCGCCTTGGTACACACTGTAACATGTACAGTGCTGCCAGGTGAAGCACCACCATTACTGGTTCAGTCTTCATTTACAGGTTTAGCCTGTGTTAATAGATTGAAGATTGTTATTTTGTTCTGTGAAAAAGTGCTCTCCAATTAGCAGTGGTTGCGCAGCCAGCGGGTGGATGGGAGGAGGGGCTTAATTCCCCCACCAGTCATGTCAATTCCCCACCGGACAGGTCAAGACCATAAAAATATATAAATATTAAGCCAACACAAGTCTGTCACAGTCTGAAAGTGCCATTTCCAGCCTTCCAGAGGCTGCTGTTCTTAAAAAAAATCTCATTTGAGAGGGGGAACTCTCTCTTAACCCCCCTTCAAACAGCTCTGGCATACGATCTCAAGTTCCCCTGTTGGACATCTTAGCCCCTCCCCCTCCCCCCAGAAAATATATCCTAGAGCTGCCACTGCCAATTAGAGGGGTCTCAGAGTCTTAAATTGTATGGTGCACTGTATTTCATCACAATACAGTACATGAAAATACACTCTTAAACCATTTTTTTTTTTGTTTTACTATTTTTCAGGGAATACTGTGAGTAATGTATTTATGATATTTCCACCATTGATTGGAATACGGTTCGCTGTCAAGGATGGGTTGGAAAGGCGATTTGTACTGGCTTTCTTTGGCCTCCTGAGTAAGTAAGGCCTATAGAATATAAAAAATGTTTATAGTGCATAATTTCACAGAACAGATGTTAAATGATAGATTTAGTCTGATAAAAGTTTTTTTTTTTTTAAAGTATTTAATATCTGACACATCATGTTTTTCATTTCCTTGTAGTTGTTGGAATTGGTTCCTGGTTTTTCCATATGACTCTTCTTTACCAGATGCAGGTAAGATCATTAAATAATAAACACACCTCCATAAATGCACAGTGCTTTTTGATTTCTTTTTTCTTTGGTTTAGTAATGTTGACTATAATTTTCGTTAATTTTTTTTGTTGTTCACATGATTAATTAACACTGTACTATACTGATTATCTTTATTGCTATTATTTTATTCAAATTATAAATATTATATAATTTTTATTATTATTGCTAAATATTATTTTTATATTTATTATTCAATAAATCATGATAATAATGATAAATATAAAGACTTCATAAATGTTACACAAGATTACTGTTATAATTAAAATTTTTTTGATAATCATAGAAATACCGACATACTAATATTAATTATCAAAAGTACAGTAAATGATCATAATTCGTTCCCACTGCCTAGATGTTCAATAGCCCACCATTATTACAACCCCAAAATTGCAACTTTAGATTTCAAAAACTGTTTTCTTTTTGCTTAATATTATTTGTGGCAAAGACAAGCCAAACCAGACACTGGTTGCAAAAATTGATTTTTAGTTATTAGTACAAGAGTAAAACAAGAGTTTAGTCATACAACTGTTAAAAAACAATATTTGAGAAATCAGCTTTCAAAGTTTGATTTTAGGCATTTTTCAGGCAAAAACCAACACCAAATCGTTAAAAATTGTTGTTTTTACATTGAAAATGAGGAAAATACCAGCGTAGCAAAGCATGATATATAAAGGGTAGTTTAGTGCAATAAAATAGATTTCCAAAATTTTGACATTCCCGTATGTTTTGGCCATTATCTCTGAAATAGGATTTGCGATGAGTGACAGGTTTGGCTTGTATTTGCCATATTTATTCATTATTTAGTAACTTATTTATTAATTTGTGACTTATGAATAATTGATTGTTGTGTTTTCAGCTGTTTGATGAGCTACCCATGATATATGGAACATGTGTCTTCCTTTATTGTCTGTAAGTGGCTTTGTTGTATTTTGTACTTTGAACTGCTAATTATTTCTTACCTGGATAGTGATAAGTCCAGTATTTCCTCTTTCAATCGTTGAGTTGCTGGCTGTGGTTTTGCCTTACTATATCTGTTCATGTATCAATATATTAGCAGTTTCAAATTTACAAGGTGTGGTTGCCCCATATTAACTATAAAATTAAATTCTTTTTTATCTAATTTTATAGTTGATCTGTTCATCCCTACTGTACTTCAACTCTGTTTATACTATTAAATACATACAAGTAATTAATTTAGGTATAATTTATTTATTCATGAAAATTATATACAATTTATCCTTATATATAATAATACTGTATGTTGTAAATATATTTTATTATTTATAGGTGTAATTTTGCCCTACCTGACGTGGAAATGTACCGAATACTCAGTACATTTATATATTTTATTATTTGTTATTATTATTAAAACAAATAAAACAAACCAATCAACACTTAAAATTGTTGTTTTACCCATCATTAACATCAGTATATTTGAAAATCAATCAATCTGTTTCCTTAAATTATTATTGTGTTGTTTTATCATTAGCATCGTCATTGTTAGGCATTGGTCTTTTGTGCGATTGTGTCCATGTGCACTTTAAAGAACACAGAGCACTCTTCATAAAAGAGTGTGAGACATTATTTTCCCCAATGTAGTGTCTTATTCAGGCATTTACAATGCTCCTCTTCCTCGCGGTTATAAAGCGCAGTTCTTTTCCCTGGTCCTTGGGTCTACATGCTAAGTGTTGCTGCTGGTAATCAGCGCAGGAGCAGGCAACCCCACCAGGTTCCCATTTTATCTTCCTGGTTGAAAAGTAGCAATGCAGATTGCTAAAGTGTCTTTCTCAAGGACACAAGTGAAATGCACAGCGAGGGATTGAAACCCCGAACTTGAGGTTGGGAAACCAAACCGTTCCCGCTGCGCCAAACTGCTTCCACACTGGAAATAAGTATTGTGAATTTTGTGGGCTGTATTTACTTCTCACCAAAGAAATCCAATCCAATTTCTACTCTAATTGGTCAATATTGTTACTACTGGTTATACTGTATACAATGGAAAAAAAAAAAAAAAAAAGAGTTGAATCCTGTGTAGTTTATTTATTTATTTTATTTTATTCAATTTCCAGGTAAACCAATTACACAAAGAGAAACAAAAGAAGACAATACAAAAGGTCTAGCTGAAAAATAAACAGTACCCTGGGGATAGTGTAAGTCACTATCAGAGTGGCTCTCCAATAATGTACTTAATCAAACTAGCACAAATACAATATTATAATACTAATTTTAATTTAAAATAGTTGCTAGGTGCTGAAACTCAAATATCTCCATTATTAATATTATTATGGTGTTTTTTTGTTTGTTTTTTTTTTGCAAGCAGATGAATAATTTTGATTGTGTTTTTGCTAGACATCTTTACTTATTTTCATACAGGAGCTTTGATCTGCTGTAGCTTATGTAGGAATTTCCACTTTTTGTTACCTTATACCAATATACTGTAGGTTAGATCTACTGTAGTTATTATAGTTGAATTGTTATAGCCTTGTTAGGCGATTTCAATCGCACGGACCACTGCACATGCACAGTATACTTGACCGTTGATTGCGCTTTGCTTGTTTAAATTGAGCCTAGCTAAATAGATCAGTAAATGAACTTAAGGATAGGAAGAATAGTTTCAATAACAATTCTTAATGACTTCCATGCAGAATTGCTTTAGTTATTGATCTTCCAATCTTTTGGATTTTCTCAGCTTGGGATAAAAAGCATAAATTACTATTACTATTGCATTTCATTTTGTCTAAACAGCTTGATAAAAGTTGGTAACGAACCACAGAATCAAGCCTGGCCCTATAGTATATGTGGCAAAGACAAGCCAAACCAGTCACTCGTCGCAAAAATAAATTTTTATTTATTAATACAGGGTTAAACAGTAAAATGAGAGCTATAAAATGGTAAAAGAATCATTTAAATCCGATATTTCGTTATGGAGTTACAGGACATTTGAACATACTGTACAGCTGCTTAAATAACATATAATGAGAAATCAGCCTTTAAAGTTTATGATTTTGTGCATTTCTCAGGAAGATACAATCACCAAATCGTTAAAAATAGTTGTTTTAACATTGAAAATGGGGGAAATAACAACATAGCAATATGTATAGATATATATTTATAATAAAATAATTTTTAAAAATGTTGGCATTCCAGCATATTTTGGCCATTATCTTTAAAACACAACTTGCGACGAGTGACTGAAATTTTTTGGTGCAGCAGGAACGACTTGGATTTCCCTCCCTGTGCATTTTATGTGGGTCCTTGAGCGAGACACTTTATCTGCATTACTTCTCTCCACCCAGGAGTATAAATGGGTACCTGGTGGTGTTACTGGCTTCTGTACTTATTACAGTAGCAGCACTTAAGCTAAAGACCTAATGACCTGGGACAGAAGTGCTTTGTATCTGCAAAGAAAGTTGATTTATAAATAACCAAAAAAACAAACAAACAAACAAATATATAAAAAATATAAATCTACCTACCCCGGTTTATAAATCGTACTGCTTGGGGCAACATTGCAATATATTTTACCTTATCTGTGGAAGAACATTAATTTTTCTGCTATTAAACACAATAGCGGTGCTATAGCAAACAGGCACCCTCATTTAACAGCGAGATGGAACTTTAAAATACAGTGTTCAAAGTATATCTACTAAGTAGATAAACTTTGATGCCACATTTTGTTGTAGTGAGATTAAATATTTAATTTGCCTTTGAAGTATAACATTTATAAACATTATTTTCTTTTCAAGACTTGAAAGTAATTCACCAGCAAAAAGTCACAACTATCCTCTCGGCATCTTCCTGACTGCCTATGCTCTTGTCACAACATTTTGTTATCTCCTAATCATCAACCCTCTCTTCCATCAGGTAGGATATTGCTGTAGTCTGCTGCCCTCTACAAACATTTCACATTCTGTAGCCTTGTCTTAATTTGACAGAACATGTGACATACCTAAATAATGTCATGATGACATGACGTTATGACCATGTATAGACACATAATGACTATATATGGGCATACAACAGTTTTTTGTCAAATGAAATTTGATAAGTCTGGACAGGGCTTTAAATAATGAACGAAGGGTGGGGTGAGGGCAGGAAGGGACTTTCATAGATGGAGGGTCTTGACCACATCAGCCCCATCCAGTAGCAGATCCAGGAATTCAAAATAGAAGGGGTCCAGGGAGGAATTTTCACTGATAGAGGGTCGACCCACCTTAGCCCCACCTTGGTTGGGGCTGAGGTAAGAATAATTATGATTATGGCACTTCTAGGTGGTCGAAAAATGGCACTCTCACACTTAAATTTGAATATAACTTTCATTTCTACCTTATTTTTTCATAATTTTGAAATATTTAGGGGGCTCAGGCGGTTTTCCCCTCTCTTGAATCCGCCACTGATCTGGTTAGCGAGCTTTTTTAACACATTTAATTTTATTTTCCTGCACATAGTGATACCCGTCCATGAGAAATTCCATGAGAAAATTGAAAATAAAGCAATGAAAACATGCAAAATTATGAATTTGCAGAGATGGGTTAATTTCTGGGAGACTCTTGCTTGCTTGCGGGAGTGCGGAAGACCGTCCCGATTTCTGGAAGACTTGGGACCCCAGCATATTTTTATGCAATAATTCACTAAACCAGATTTCCATAAACATGCAATTGACGACGGTGTTCATTTGTCAGTTTAATCGGGGAACTTTCCTGATTGTGCTGGGGACACCTGTGCTGTGTAGCGGTTGCCTTAAAAACATTGTAGCGACATTATAGCAATTTTATGGAAATGAGGCAAACATATACATATAAATATTTTCTATTTTATTGTATAATTTTTTTTTCAGGCAGCTTACGGTACACTAGTAGCTACGCTTTTGCTTCGTATGATATATTGTTGCAAGTAAGTTCATTCTTTACTTGTATTTTATGTACTTGAGTTTTCTCACATGATGTAAAGAAACATAAACAATTGATATGTTAGCGTTATGTCTTTACGGTATTATTTATGAAATGTCATTTAAAATACACAAGTGTAACTTAACTATATACCATAAGCTTCGAATAGAATCCCTGGGGTTTTGTTTTTTTCTGGAAAATTTGAATTTGCTTCTTTTTGAGAAGGGAATTACTTCTTTAAAACAATTAATAGGGACACTGTAAAATCAAAAGTCTGTATCATGGAGTGTATTACCCGGTATTAAAAATCACCTAAACTACCGTATAAACCAAGCATGTTTTCAATTTCTTTTGTGTCTTTGAAATTCATGTAGAGTGTTTGTACTATCTCGAAAAGAAGCCAATGCTTCTTTTCGAGATGGGCTTCTTTTCGACGCTACTTTTGCAAGCTAAAGAGGGGGCTTCAATACGAGATGGGCTTCATCTCAAGATTAAGCCCATTGGGCTTCTATTCAAGGTTTTAGAGGGAAATTAAAAAATAGAGAGCTTTCAATTGCACAAAGACGGTAGGTGGGATGTAGAACATAATGACGTCGCTAAAAGTCATCTGCGCATGCGAGAACGTTAAGTTCTTCTCGTCGTGTGGCTTCTAGAACGTAATTTGGCGAAATCCATGTATACAGAGAACGTTGGACGCCCGGTAGAATGGTCACGCATGAGTGATTCCGTTTTAGCGTCATGTCTTCAAATCGAAAGCTCCCTAATCATTTTAAGAGGGTGACTCTTCATGCTTAAGTTCTTTCCATGCAGATTTTTAAACATGTGATATGCCCATATTTGGATGTAATATAACATCATCAAGCTCATATATGGGCACATCACACTAATTTGTCCAATTAAATTTGATAGTGTTGATCTCTATCCACACAATTCCCACAGAAGTTGCAGGCAATCTCTGGAGCTGATAAAACCAAAATGCTCTTATAAAGTCTTGATGTGAGGCCTTAAGGGAGTGTGTTTTTTTTTTAAACATGTGATATGCCCATATTTGGATGTAATATAACATCATCAAGCTCATATATGGGCACATCACACAAATTTGTCCAATTAAATTTGATAGTGTCGATCTCTATCCACACAATTCCCACAGAAGTTGCAAGCAATCTCTGGAGCTGATAAAACCAAAATGCTCTTATAAAGTCTTGATGTGAGGCCTTAAGGGAGTGTGTTTTTTTTTAAGGCACAAGGAAAATCTTGACAAGATTTTAAGCCACCACATTAGAATTAAGACAAGTATCTTACCAACAGCTCTAATAATATAATATGTGGCATAGACAAGCCAAACAGTCACTCGTCGCAAATCCTGTTTCTGAGATAATGGCCAAAACATGCTGTAATGTCAAGATTTTTGAAATCTATTTTATTGCACTAAACTAAACCTTTACATATCTATACATAAAGCTTTGCTGTTATTTTACCCATTTTCAATGTTAAAACAACAATTTTAAACTATTTGGAGATGGTTTCTGCCGAAGAAATGCCCAAAATCGTAGTAAACTTTGAAGACTGATTTCTCAAATATTGTTCATTAAACATCTGTATGTTTATACTCCTGTAACTTCATAATGAAATGTTGGATTTTAATGATTCTTTTACCATTTTATATGTGAGGCCTTTATATGTGAGAACTTTCTTGCAATATTTATTCATTTATTAGAAAACTTAATTAAGGGACATTTTAAGCCCTAAATTTTAAACATTGTACTTTGTAAAAAATTGATGATTATTTTACTGCAAGTCCTATATTTTAATCTAAATTGTACATAGCTTGACATTAATTCAGATTGTATTTTTTTTTTTTTTTAAATCTTCTATTTTTGTATTTTAATGTAACCGTACTGTGTGGAGAGCCCCTTGACAGCAGACATCTGTTTTTGCTTTTGGGCAATCCAACCAGGCAGTCACGGTTGTTCCTTTATTTTTGTAAAATTTTTTTTGTTTTGTTTTTGTTTTACTGGAAAAATAAATGATATGATATGAACTCACATTTTACTTTTTAACCCTGTATTAATAACTAAAAATTGATATTTGCGTGACTGAATTGGTTTGTCTTTGCCACATATATACATGATAATACTAGACACTATGTGTAACAATTTTTGAATTTTATTGACTATAAACATAGATTTATCATTTTAATAATGTTATTGTAGTTCTGTTAATAATAATAATAGTAATAATAATAATAATAATAATAATGCAAATTTGTTTTCTTCAGATATGAAGGGTTTTCCAAGAATTTGTTTTGGTTTTCCACCTTAATCTATGGCACTGGTTTCATCATCTGGAATATTGATAACATATTCTGTGAAGAAGTCAGGTAGCTGTATTACAATTACACTTAACTAAAAAATAATGGATTACAGTCATCTAATTTGCTTGAATTTTGCTTATGATGTGATTGCACAAGGGGGTTCAAGAATGGAAATTGCTCTCCTTTTTTTTACTCATAGGTTCTTTATACTGATTTTCTTGTTGATAAAAGATCTTTAAAAAAAACCTCGTCAATATTTTCGGAATATTGGAGCCCAATATAATTTTTATCCAATTTCATTTTGACACTCCTTTCAGTTCCGTACCCCGGGCACATGCCCTGTCCTGCACCCATGTAGTCACACGTCTGTGTGTAAACCACAATTCTGAGCATTACTAATCCATTTGTTGCTTCTCTCGTCATCCGTAGGTCCATCAGAAACGCTCTTCCTGTGTACGTTGCCCCAGTGACTCAGCTGCATGCGTGGTGGCATATATTTGCAGGCCTTGGAACTCAGGCTAATATAGCATTTGGTATTACTCTCAGGTACAGGTTCCTCAAGAAGAAATGTATTCTTTGGGTAAGGATTACCAATAATCTCATCAATTAAATGCATTATAGAGATTTTTTTTTTAAATGATGTGTTGTATTTATAATTTTTACTTTTTTTATTTTTATTATGTTCATAATTATTTGGGTTGCAAGAACTTTTCAGTAAATTGTTGGTTGTTTTTGTTTTGTTTTGTCTGTTTTTGTTTTATTCAGCATCTCACATAAAAAGTTCCAATTTACATCATCATAAAAACAAAACAATAAAATTTTATTAAAAAGACACGGTTACATGAATAAAGGAATAAAACAAAATTATGCCATGGATAACCCATAAAGTTAAGAAACTTATTTCCAATGGGGTCCATATACAAATAAATAAAAAAATAAATAAATAAATTGGCAGTTTATAATAAAATTTCACAAGAAACATCAGACACAACATCAACAATATAAAAGTAATTTAACTAAACTAGGCCTAATAAGGTATAATAAGCTAAAATATGGAGGTGTTCTTTAACTTAAATACTAGATTATTATTAATAGATACATTGTTGTTTTTGAATGCAAAAAAAAGTTTTTTCTGCTCACCAGTAACATATTGTATTTTACCATAAACTGTAATTATTCGAAATTATAGTAATAACTGAAAATATTTAAGTTCAAACATCATTTACCATAATTTTTCTGTCCCCATGCAGACACAATTCAAACTTGATTACATGACATGTATAGAATAAGGCTACAGCCTAGCCACAACAGGTAATATGGTCACCTGCAGGCTAAAGCAGACCAGGAGTATATGAATTTATTTGAATTGATTTAAAGTCGATCACCTTGTTATCTCATCTAGGCCTAGCCTAATGTCTAGGCTTTATTTTTGTTTGCCAACATCATGCAAGGTTGGTTAGGATCGTCTTTTGGTTTTGTTGAACCTAGCAATGAAATATTCTTTGCGGTGTTACATTATGTTAAATAGGTGGTTTCATTTATGAGCAACAGTCATTCACATCTGTAAACAGCAAATACATATCACCATCTGCTGTACCAATGCACATTACAACATCTATTGGATTAAAATATAATAGGTCATTGAAATAAAATATTGTCATGTTGCTTTAGGCCCTGATTAAACAATTGTAAGGAGCTGTTATTTCTTTCCATTATTGGCTTTAGGACTTGCAGACCTTCGGAAAATTTTATTAGGAAATAATGGCACCTTCAGCTTATGTTTCCAATTCAATAATGCCCTTAGAACTTGACTTTTTTTACATATTATTTGATGTTCCTCTGCCTTGGTCCTAATCCCAAGTTTAAATGTAGTAAGGTTGTAAATATTAAATTTGTATTAATATTATAATTATGTTATTATTATCTACTACTGCTGCTGCTGCTGTTTTTTTTATAAAGTTATTTTTATTGTTACAGTATTATTAATGATCATAATATCATTATTGTTAATAATAATAATAACAATAATAATAATAATGATAAAAATTATGTTATTATTATTAATAATTATGTTATTTTTCATTATTAATAATGATGTTATTTTTCATTGAACATTATTATTACTACTATCATTATTATTTCAGCTTTTACAAACTTATCATAATTTTCTATATAACTATAAATATAATAATTAATTTTTTTTTTTATATATATTTTTTATTTCAGAGCAATGGTAAAGCCATCCCATTTGTTAGAGTTAGCTCAGCCGAGTAGTAAGGTCTTGTTTTGGTTAAAGACTCAATTTATTATTTAATTCAAAAGCATGAGTTATGTATAATACATATATCATTAAAAATTCCCAAATGCTGCTATAACCAAAGAATCTATAACAATATTTATTTGGTTTAGATTCATTCTGTATTTTAACCTTTGCTAGTAGTCCTAACATTTTTGGTAAAATTATTTAAGCACAACACACGCATTTTCTTATATTTGTTAGCATAAGTCTACTTTACCCCTATTTTTTGTGTATTTTGTAGACAGTAGCTCCTAAATATCCTTCCAAATCTTTATCATTATCAGAAACACTACCTCTAACTACTAGGTGTATGCTATGAAAATTGTTATACTTGAAATTTTTGCAATTATGTCGTATTGTAAGCCGGGTACTGACTGCACCCAATGGTCGTAGGCTGATGCTATTCTATGGAGAAGGCAACGCGACGATGCACGCCCAACGGATCATTTTTAATGACCATCTGTTTAGACTGCCACTGACAATCAGCAGACGGTGTATGGTCTAGCGCTCAGAGGGAGCAGATTTGAATTCATCGGTCGGTGGGAGCAGATTTGGATTCATCGGCCGGCGGTCGTACAACCGTATGATGAAGAGAGTGCCCGGCTTAGCTATCTATAAATTAATGTTAAAGAGTCAACTTGATCCAATTCTTGATCCAACCTTTGTGTTGTGCCACTTAGCCCTCCGCCAACCACGATTTCAACTCAGAACTTCAGAATTACTGGGCAAATGTAGCAACTGCGCTTTAAAATCTGTGTCATTCCTAAATGCCAATTAATTTTACGGGTTTCACTCAGAAAGTTTTTTTGAGAACTCATAACCTATTTTTTAAAAGTCAGCTGATAAATCGATTAAGTACTGTTTATTGGACTCGAGATATTTTTAATGGTATTTTTATAGATATTGGTCATTTTTATAAACATTAATTCTTACGTTTGTTTTGTGGTATTTCCATATTAGTGAATATCACTTCTAAAATTGTTACGAATGTTGTACTCAAAAAATTATCCCGCCAGCCAAACATGTAGAATACTGAGTGGTGTGGTGAGGTGATTTTGGTATCCAGGAAATTGTGGTGTATTCAGTGGTGATCAAGGATACTTAGGGGTGTTTTCTATCCAGGAGTGTGTGATGCATAGGGTTATTTGATGTTCAAGTCTACTTAATGGATCTTGAAAGCCTTGAGGTATCCAGGGGTGTGTGATATATCTAGGGGTGATTGATTTTTCCTGGGTATCTAAAGGGTTCCTGGGGTAACAGAGTGCTTGGGTATCCAAAGGTCATTAAGGTATCTAGTTGTCCTTGCAATTTATCAAGGCTATTTGGTGTATTTTTATTTTTAGGCCTTGTTTTGTTTTCTGATCAAAGAGTTTTTCATTATTATCATGTCATTATTTCAGCTTAACAAATGTTACTACATTATTAAGAGGTAGGACTACCTAAATTTTATTTAAATAAAAAAAACGATGAAGAGGCTCTCCCAGAAAAAGGACAAGTTTACATAAAAGTGGACACATTAGGATTAAGGTGAGAATAAAGATATGGGTAAAGAATAAAGCGAAAAATGACGAATAACAACCTTAAAAAGGTTTTCAGATTCTGATTTAGCTGCCTTTTCCCCTCTCATCTTAGATACTCCCACCTCTTGATAAAATTTTTTACATCACAAGTAACCTACATGTACATTCCCCCTATTAGATTGGACACCCAACCCCTTGATAAGATCCTAGTATTCTTTTTAGGATCTCTCTTTAAAATACGACAACACCTTGATTTGAAAATGTACCTGTGAATTCCTTGCAATACTAACATTAATACTACTATCCCAACAAAAAAGGGGGGATTTACCTTATATTGTTTTCCCTAACACGAAGATTTACCTCGGGGTTGGAGGTCCTCACCTGGTTCCATCATGTATGGGATTGAGAATCAAATTGTTCTCAGCCTGGATGAGCTGGATTTTACCCCACCTAGTGAAAAAATATTCTAAACACTGAGATATTTATAACGTTACTATAATGAAAATAACCCATCAAATCTTAATCAGCCTAAATGGTGCTAATAAATTGATTATTTATATATAATAGTTATTAATAAATTCAATATTATTAATCTGATAGATGAGGCACCATCATATAGTGCCCTCTATACAGTGGAATCTATTTATTTGCTTACCCACAGTAAATTTAATAATGATTAGGTTTCTTCAAGGATTTTGGCTCCTTGATTTGATGTTTGCCTCATTCTTTATATTTGAAAAAAAAAATCGTACTGTGACTTTTAATATTTTAAATATATTTATATATATATCATAGGATGCTAATTGATAAATCACTTTTATATATGCATTTCAATAAGCTTGCTTTGAATTGGTAAAAACAAATCTTAAATGAAATAATCAATGGATATAAAATCAATGCAACTAAAGTGAATTATATTTCTAGATATTAATTTTAAATATTTATAACTATGCTTTTCGTATAAAAAAAATTCAAAAAGATTACCTGTAATTTATTACGTTTATAGGGTTTTTGTTTAATTTATTAGGCAGCTTTTAACACACATTCTTTCAAAAGGATTCCAGTTTGCTTTATTAAAACCATACATTTTAATTTTTTATTTTATTTTGAAAGCTAATACAGTGTTTATTTTATGTATAGTTTTATGTAAGATGAAAATAGTGGTGGGTATAGCATGGAGGAAATAACTCGGGCCTTGGTTATAGCAACCATTACTTACTAATACATGTAAATGTTCTTGAAAGTATAAACAATGTTAGATTCAGCATGTCTCGATTATCTGTCAGGGAATTGTAAATAGTATATTTTGTGATTAATGCAAAATATTGCATTTCTTTCTGTAGATAAAAGAAAATCTGAAGACTGTTTGTAAAGACTAACATGCCATGAATATGCCTACAGTTAATTATAGTTCGATTATTTTCTAAATATTAGTAGAGAACTCTACTTGATGAGACAATTAGAAAAAAAAAGGATAGGAAGAAGATTTAATTAATATGATATATTTTTTAGATAACTCTTTGTTTTATTTTGAGATTAAATATAAGAGAAATAGTTCCAGTCTGCTGATTTTGCAATACACAAAATTAAAACATTAACCCTAATAACTTACAACTACGAGGCACCCTTCGTACCTCGTTGATATCAGTAGGTTTTGGGTTTAAGTTTACAAAGTCATCCATTTTAGACAACTATTGTATAATCCTCTATTAAATTTGATATCTGAATATCTAAACGACTGTTGGCTGATGCAGGCTGTGCCTTTCAAACCAGCTTGTCCATTAGGCGGTCAATAATAATAATAATAATAGATAATAATAATAATAATAGATAATAGATAATAATTTTACATTTATAAAGTGCATAATGCAAAGCTTCTATGCTCTTCACATAAAAAAAAAAAAGTTTTATTCAAAAAAAATTAAGTAAAACATAAAACTGGCTAAACAAAAATGCAAATTTTTCAAGGGTTCACCATCCAATTAAACTCTAGATCCCATAGCCTCTGCTGCTTGTCCCCAATGCCCAGGGTCACTGCAGGCAGTGCTTATAAAATATATGTATTTGCAACAAGGGTCAACCCAGCAAAACATACCGTACTGATTTGCAAAAAGTCTCTAACATTTTTGATTTTTTTAATTTGATAGGATGACAGTTTCAGTTTCATCAAAATCAGCAGAGTGGATGTCTTTAATTAGGTACTCAGTGGTTTAAGATTATTATTTCCTGAACTGCATATCTGAAATACTGTATTTGAAACATTCGATTCGTTTGTATAGTGTTCAGTGTTGGGATGTAGCAGTTGCTACACCATTTTAGAGCTTGGTGTTAGAAAATGTATAGAATCATGGAATAGTATGAATTAATATGTTTTAATATGCTTTTTTTCTGAAGTGGCAATTGCACATGACTACTGTATCATAGGTTTACAAACTGTATTACAGCATTAGTTTTTTATAAACTAGATGAAGGTATAATGTAGGCTGTGTGCTGCATCAAAAAGTATTCACAAAATGTATAGCTATTGAAACATAGACATGACAGAAGTAATAACAAAGATGCAGAAAAGTGAGACAGCCACCTCACCATATATTTTTTAATGCAATGATATAAGAAATGGACGTATAGTTTCATATGGAGCATTGATTATACTTATATTTCTTAAATAATTATTGATAATGATATAACAAATTATATAAATTTGATAGTTTAATCAATGGAGCTTTTATATAACCGAAGTTTTTTACCGTTTGTCGGTATGTATTTCTGTCTCTTATACACATCTAGATGTGTATAAGAGACAGATGTATGGGATTGAGAATCAAATTGTTCTCAGCCTGGATGAGCTGGATTTTACCCCACCTAGTATCTTCCTCTGTCCACAGAGGTTTGTTCTGTACAGACAACACCATCGATATATGAATTACAATGTTAGAATAGGGAATGGCTTTGGTTACAATCATGAATGAAGTCAACTTATTTTTCCTAATATATTATTTTTACCGAATATCTTTATGGTAACTAAATTTAAAACAAAATACTGTTACTTGTTAGTTATAAAATTGAAAATAATTAGTATTAATGGGTTTAATCCTCGACGTCTTCAAATCAGTTAAAATTCCCATGTATTACCGAAAATAAAAATTGTCATATCCTTGCCATTTGTTATCCCATTTTAACAAATTTTGAATCAATTATTAGCGTTTGACCTCTAGATTATATATTTAATAATCTCATATTTCATTTTTGAGACAAGAGCCTGTTTTTTGTGTGTCGAACTCTGAACTCTCCTCTACCTAATACAGTATTTATACAAAAAAAACATTGCTTGATGAAATCCGCAGAAGTTAATTGATTATTTTTTTTATTCAATTGTAAGATTTAGCACTCTTTGATATAATGTATTTTATAATTGACATTTTGATGAGGTTTTCTTAAAACATCATAAATTATAGTTTTTATATTAACTGTGCATTATTTTTCCTTGGTAACATCGTACAATTACTTCAATTATGCCTACAGTAGAGCCCCTCCTTTGGGACACCCCTATTGAAGGGACATTACTATTAAGGGGACAATTTTTCGGCCACGAAAAACGAATGAAGTATATATTTCAACACTATGACCAACCCTATTCAGGTGACACCCCTATTAAGGGTACAATTTATTTTATTTTTTTTTTTTTGGGGGGGGGGGGGTCCGAAGTTGTCCCTTTAATAGAGGTTCTACTGTATTTGATAGTGCTTTTATATTCTGCACTTAAAAGTTTATCTTGATTTTATTGCAGTGTTTTCTTATACACACTATTGTATTTTTTAAATGGAGAATTTTTTTGTCTTGTTGAATTAGCGATGTAATTTTGAAAAAAATAATGTTTCTGATATAATACAAGCCAAGAAACTGTAGTGCATTCATAAAATAAAAACAGCAAATAAATAAATAAATACTGTACAACGGAGAGTAGCTTTACTGACCAATTCAGTATTTCTTTCCATTTTCTTTAACAAAAAAAGGGTGGCTGTGATTTGTTGTTAAGACGTTCACCATAGCGACGATGATCATTTCAGCACTTGATGTATTATGACGATAGATATTTGATTTCCTTCTGAGCATCATAAGCGATTGGAGCGATAATTTGTGACGTCTGAGGCATAGATAATTAATTTCATTTGTATTCCAAATTAAATATTGTAATGTTACACTGTTGTGTTTTATTTGGTTGGATGGTCAATATCAAATTACTCTTAAGATTTAACAGTGATATTGATTTTGTATGAGAATAAATTTTTGGTGACGATAAAATATATTTCTATTTGTTGCATTGTGTTTAAGATTATGTCGCCCCTGTGTCTCGATTCAACTTATCTACTTGCAATGATGAAGAGGATACATGATTATTGAATTTCTTCGTTGACGGTGGTAATAATCGCTAGACTTGGACAGTTTCAAGGGCATGGAAAATTGCTCACGTTTTACTATTTTATAAATGGAAGGAGAATAGAACATAAAACCATATCTTCCAATGTCACTCACTTGACATGGTAGAACCTTTCCCTATCTATTGGAACTTCTTGAAATGATAAGTTAATCTCTGCCCCTGAAAACTCTGGAGTTGACTGGATGATATTTTAAAAACAATGAAATGACGATGTACAATCATTGAGGGTTTACACATCT